TAAACTGTCTATCAAGCATTTCGAATCCCAGGTGTGCCAAGTTTTGTGGGTCAAAAGTAAAGTTTCCCCTCACCTCTCACAAGCTGATCATAAGCCTTGGGATGTGGCCAGTGTTCTCTGCCATGCGCTGGGGTTTCCCAGCAAGAAAGAGTAGATGGAAAGCATTTTCTGCAGGTAGGAAGTTTGAAAACCAGAGGTCGACAACATGCAGCTCCCCAAAGCATCTGGTAATAGCACTGTGTAGCTGCGATTTATCACTGTGATTTATTCAGCTTGGCCACATTCCCTGGATATTTTGCACATGTGCTAGTTTGCAGCGCTTACGTCGATCTACATACACAGCACATGCAACTCAGGCATTCAAAGAGGACTGGAGCCAATGTTTGTGAAGATGGTGTTTTTTTAACATATATACTGATGTTTCTAAAGTTCCTAAGTTCTGGGTCTAAAGAATATAACCCTCTGCAACTTATAATGCTCATTTTCAGTCTGAGCCAGACAACCATCAGAGTTCTTCTCCACCTCATACTGAAATCCAAGCCGCAGAAGAACATCTTCCTTCCTTTTATCTCTACCTCCTACCACCCATTTAACCCACCCTTCCCCATCCTCTCTCCTGGCTCCAGTGGTTGGAGTGGTACTACAACAACAACAACAACAACAACAACAACAACAACAACAACACCACCAACAACAATTTATTTATTCCCCAGGCACTCTGGGCGACTTCCAACAATATATTAAAATGCAGTAATGCATCGAACATTAAAACCTTCCCTAAACAGGGCTGCCTTCAGATGTCTTCTAAAAGTCTGGTAGTTGTTGTTCTCTTTGACATCTGGTGGGAGGGCATTCCACAGGGCGGGTGCCACTACTGAGAAGGCAACCTATTTTTTCCAGAGCCCCTAGTGTCTGGCTCAATGCTGTAGAAGCTGAGGAAGTAATGAGGACTCCCATGGGAGGAGTGCTGTTAGAAAGTAGTCCCCAAAGGATTAGAAATTGGGCTGAGAAACAGCTGCTTCCCTAGAATTGCCTTTCTGTCTCTTTCCTGTTGATTTTAGTGAGCGCTACTAGCTCTCTGCAGAATTCCATCAGTTTCTGAAAAGGCAGAATGACAAAAGAATGCAATCATCATACTATCTTTTCCATTTTCTTATTTTACTGTATAAAGAAGATAGAAAAACTCATTTGTTCTCTGCAATACCAGAAGGAATGAGTGGAAGGAAATTATAATTAATGACTTAACAATATTAGCACATTGAGCCGCAAATTTGTTCCTATGCAGCTAGTCAGGGAGACATTTTCTAAAAGAGCACAGCTCTGAAAACATACGAATATTGATACATTCCTTTTAAATGGGGAAGGGCTTCAAGTAAAGACACTAGTGGCCAAATAACTTCAAAACATGAGAGCCACTATAAGAGAGATGGGGCTCCAGATGAAACTAAAGGTAAAGGTAAAGGGACCCCTGACCATTAGGTCCAGTCGTGGCCGACTCTGGGGTTGCGGCACTCATCTTGCTTTATTGGCCGAGGGAGCCGGTGTACAGCTTCCGGGTCATGTGGCCAGCATGACTACACCTCTTCTGGCGAACCAGAGCAGTGCACGGAAACGCCATTTACCTTCCTGCCAGAGCGGTACCTATTTATCTACTTGCACTTTGGGGCGAGCTTTCGAACTGCTAGGTTGGCAGGAGCAGGGACCGAGCAACAGGAGCTCACCCTGTCGCGGGAATTCGAACCGCTGACCTTCTGATCGGCAAGTCCTAGGCTCTGTGGTTTAACGCACAGCACCACCCGCGTCCCCCAGATGAAACTGCAAGACCCATAATTTTGCTGACATTCAACAACAGTCTTATAAAAGAAGCAATAAGAATCATGCAGAGACGTTTGCTGCAGCAGGGAAAGTGGGTGGCATGTGCATAAATTGAGGACTTGGCTGGTTTGTTGGCATCAGTCAAACTCTTAGATTACTTTGAAACAGGAGATGCTCTCTTTAAGGAAGCCCATTGGACTCTCTCATGCCAGCCCTTATTTCCCCTTTGTAATACCATCAACATTGCTTTGTGAATGATCACTGTAATGATTTTACAAACATTGAAGCAGCAAGTCAATTGTCCCACTCTGCCCGTTTTGCATTCCATTTCCCTCTAACCTCACTGTTTACAATCGTGCACACACACGCAAAAAAAACTTTATTGCTTTTGTTGCAGTAGTCTAACACAGCTGCCCCTATGGAAATCTCTTCTCACTTGCTTTCTTGTCATATGTGCAATACAATCAGTGTTACACTTGGTGTGCTAGATAACTGGAGAGAAATGATGGACTGGGGGTATGTGAGCAGGTGGTGCGCATGTGCATTAGTAAAATAACACTGTTGGGAAACAAAATGCAAGCTTCTTTAGGCAATAACTGTATGCTTTCATTTTTGGGTTCAACTTTTTTTATTTCATATACTGAGGCAAAGGCAAGCACTGAAATACGCAACTGTTGTTCCATCTAAGCTGTGCTTAGACAGGTGTCTGTAGGTCACATGTACCGATATCACCAGACAGCTATTTCATGATGCAGTAGCTGAATTTGTGGAGCCAAGTAGACACCGCATGATGAACTGATGGTTGCATGCAGATTTCTGCATCATGACCAAATTGATCACCATTGCCATGTCTTACCATCTTACCTTTTCATCAGCTGGTTTTCTAATGCAGAAAGAACCGTTTGACATGACACAGGGTTGAATTCCCCTTGAAGCTGCCTCTGCAAACAACTTACGGCAAACAATCTCTATCCTGGCTGGGTCCTTGGGGACTAACAGTTGTGCACCAGTGATCCACGTGGTAAATAATACTACAAGTTATATCTGGAGCAAGGGCAACATGCCACTAAGAGACGATGTCAAATGTAAAGCATGCTTAAGCCTTAGGTTGTTAGGATTCCGGTGGTTTGCTGGTTTAAAATTACAGGTCTCCTTGTAATTTCCAGGGGAGCTCAGAAAATAAGCAAATATGAAATGTATTAAAATAATTCTCAAAATTACTGCAAAATAGTAAAAGCAACAATCAAATAGCTGTTGAAATTACAGATAAAACATAAAAGCTCTAAAACAGCAGCATCAGATTGAGCATTAAAAGCCTGGATAAATAAAATGGTCTCAGGCTTTTATTTATTTCAACCTGGGTACCAGACAAGCATCCCTGGAGACAGCGTTCCAAAGAGATAGCATCACGACAGAGAGGCCTTTTCTCCTATCGCCAGCTGCCTAACCTCTGATAATGGGGACATCTGGAGAAGGACATCTGATGAGATCTTAACAAGCAGTCAGGTTCATGTGGCAGCACAGACAGGTGAAGGATTCTGATGGCTATACAGATTCAAACTGATGAGTGTCTGGTAACAATTGCAGGATTGTTTGGGCATGCATTGCTAAATTACTTTTCGAGGGAGAATTTAGATAAAATGGGCAATGAATGGACTGGCGGAGTGAAGTCAATAACCTAATTATTTTTACTTTAATCCTTGTCTTCCAAGATTTTCCTGCAAACCTGGGAGATGGTTGATTTGCTTGACAGCACCCAGCAGGATGGCATTACTCTAAGTGATGGTGCTTATTGATTACTTTCACTTGGTTTTGTCGTGAGACATAAATAAGAACAGTGCTAATGAAATTGATCACATCAGGCCTGAAAATTACACTGTCTTTGCAAGATTTCTGAATCTTGAAATCTGACTGGAAACTTTTCAAAGCCGGTTTGTTTAGACCCCAGCTGGAAGAAAGGGTTCCCGGGATATTTTCACAAAGCAAGCTGCTGTGTATGGCAAGTTGTTTGTTAATAAAGATGAGTCAAGCAAATTTTGAACCCCAGTGAAAGCTCTCTCTGTTGCCAGTAGATGCCTCTTTCTTCAAAGCAACAAGATACACTACAGGATTTCTGACTTAACCAAATCAATGTAAAGAGGGAAGAGAGAATAAATTAATAGCTTCATGGGGTTGTGGTTATCAACACACCAAGATATATAACTAGGCACTCAAAAGATAGAGAATAAGTAATGGGAAGAAGGAAATAACTAAATATACTACAAAATCAACAGGAATAAGAATTAATCTGATTTTCTTTTCCTAAAAAAGCATTCCCATTGGTAAAAGAAGGTGAGGTTTTCCTGCAGGTAAGCTGGATAAGTTGATTCCAATAGCAATTGTACTACCAGCCTTACTGTATGCTTGTGAAACATGGACCACTTATAAACGTCATCTCCTCAAAAGATTCCATCAACGGTGTCTCCAAAAAATGTTACACATCACCTGGGAAGACAGGCAGACCAGTGCCAGTGTACTGGAAGAAACAAAGATCACCAGTGTCGAAGCAATGATTCTTCAACATCAACTTTGTTTGACTGGTCATGTGTGGATGCCTGATTATTGTCTTCCAAAGCAACTACTCTATTCCGAACTTAAAAATGGAAAGTGTAATGCCACTGGTTCAACAAAAGAGGTTGAAAGACTCTCTCAAGGCAAATCTTTAAAAATGTAGTATAAACACCAACAACTGGGAAACACTGGCCTGTGAGCGCTCCAATTGGAGAACAGCCTTTACCAAAGGTGTCATGGGTTTTGAAGATGCTCGAACTCAGGACGAAAGGGAGAAATGCTGTGAGAGGAAGGCACACGTGGCAAACCCTCACCGTGATCAACTCCCACCCAGAAACCAATGTCCCCACTGTGGAAGGACGTGTGGATCCAGAACTGGCCTCCACAGCCACTTACAAACTCACTGTTAAAACCATGTGTATGGAAGACAATCTTACTCGGCTAGGAGCGATCGCCAAAGAAGAAGAAGAAGATTAAGCTTTTTGGGACACGGATGAGATGAGGCAGAAGTGAGGAGTGAGCCTCCACAACTTTGCTGTGCTCCATCTCAACAAGTATACTCTTGCCATTTGACTCAATATTTTTTCTACATTGACTGGTGGTTGCCCCCCAAGGTTTCAGGGAGGAATGTTTCCCATACCTACCAGGGATTGAACCTAAGGTCTCCTACATGCAAGGCAGATCCCCTACCACAAAGCTATGATCTCTCCCATCATCTGCCCTCCCCTTTCGTACTATAGAGGGTTTGTGTAAACAGGGCTTCCTCTCATTCGAGGCTATACAACCAGGGATGGAAAACGGGTGATCCTCCATAAGTTCTGAATAACTGCCATCAGCCTTGGCCATTGGCCATGTGGCTGGGGCTGAATGGGGTTGGAATCCTATAACATTGAAGGGGCACAATTTTCCCTTTCTTGTTATACATATATGATGTGGAAGAGTATACGAATGCCACCTAAGGCTCCCATACCTCGCTGGACGTATAAGATGCACACATGGGGAAGGTGTTGATGGACTGGCCATAAACTGCTGCTACAGAATTCTTTTGGTTTCCTAGTTCAGTCTGATTCAGCCCAGGAGATAGAACAAGAAGCATCACTTTGTGTGGTGGAATGATATGTTGAGAATTAGCCCTGGAGAAGGGTTTTGCACCCAGAAGGCATTGTAATCATTTCAGTCACCTGCTTCTTAAGTCTCTTGTCTTGAGGTTTACCCATCTCTGGATAATTTCTGCTTTTTGGATCAGAAAATGCGAACTTAAGAGCAGCATTCATGGTACAAATGCTTTGATTTAAGGTCTGAAATTCTGAAGGGGCATTGCCTGCCTGTTTTTTATTGAGAAGAAGTTCCAAAGAGTTGGGCCTACCACAAAGGAATGCCTCTTCATGCACTTGTCATTGTAGGGCAGGGACACAAATAGAGCTCCTTGGATGAGCTCAGTGATCAGCTTGGGACATATGGGCCACAGTGGTCCTTAAGGTATTCTTCCCTGAGTTCCTTGGGAATTTGTAATTTATTAAGGCAATGATGGTCCATTCCTTATTACCCTTTAGATTCTTAAAAATTATTTATTTAGTCTTTTCTCTTTTTTTTACTGGAGAACCCTAGAACAGCAATAACAGCATCTGAAGGCTGAGGGTAGAACCTAACTCTACCTTGTCCCCTTGTCGTTGGGGACTTGGGAGATTAATCAAAGTCATTGTGACCTTGAACACTGACATGACTGGAAGCCTTGGGGATATGGGAAGCTTCACAACAACAGCTAAGACTACAGGTGAAATATGTGGGTAGCTGGAAGGTATGTTTGAGCCTTCCTGTGGAAAGGTGCCAGATCAAGTATTCGGGAGGAAAATGCAACACAAGCAAAGCAGTTTGAGGCTCTTCATTTAGAACTTGTGCCATATGCTCTGAAAGCTGTTTGACAGTCTTAGATCTGTTCATGTTCAGCCAACACCACTAATAATGTTAGTAAAACTTGGGCCAAACTGAGTTTATCAGCCAGGTGTCTGCTACTCTCCTTTCTGCAGAGTAGAAGCTTTAACCTTGTAAAAAGTTAGAATTGCCAGAATGTTTTGCCTGAATCACTCTTTTCCTAAGTTCTTGAGTAACTCCATTGAAACTGGTTTGAACTTTTAATCATCTCTAGACTTTTTTTGGTTCTTGCCACCCCCTCAGTTCTATCCCACTCCTGTCAGCTTGCAAACTCCGTATTTAACTGTCAGGAAACAGCTTTCAAAAAGCAATCTCCGCTTACTCACACCACTGCCACAATATGGCTTTCAACAAACCTTTTTTTGGTTTGATGAGTGCATCTCTCTGCTTTTTTGTTTTTACCCAGCTAGTTACTCCAGGCAACACTTATTTTGTCACTTCCAGGAATTTAATTTTTTTTTTTAAGAAGAAAGCTTCCCGGTTATCTTCTCTCAACCAATTTGCAGTTTTATTTTCAGAATATGCAATTACCAAGTATTTTCCAGCAACTTTATTGTGCAGAAATGTGTGAGGTGAAGCTTTCCCCCCCGCTGCATCTGCTTAATTTCTGTTTGGGTGTTGAGGACCACCCACATGATACTGAAATATAGGCAAACCCGCACACCCCGATTTACATGCTTTCAATATGCACCATGCCAAACCCGGAAGTGACCTGGAAATGTCATAAAAGACGTCACTAAGAGGGCAGAGCAGGGGCAGGGTGGGTGTGAGATGGGGCAGAGTGGGGGGGGGTTGCAGGCGTTTGCAGACTTTTTCAATTACACACAATTTCATGGAAGCACAGCATAACCCACAACACAACCCCCAGCGCAAATTGGGGATTGTCTATACTGTACATTCAATGGACCAATCTGTTAGAGGCCAATGACATTTCCATTTAGGGCTTGGGGACACAGAAGAGGGATTTCTTAGCTGACCCAGAAAGAGGGGTTTCCTCTCTGCCCCTGGTTCCTTGTGAAAAGGTTAATATGATTAATCTTAAGATTAAAAAGCTGCACGTGTGACCCAAACGATCAGAAACTTTATCCAATGTGGGCAAAGAATTTGAAGTCTGTGCTGTACCAAATGTAGCAGTGACTAGTTACAACACTATTTTAAACTGGCCAGGTTGTATTGCCATATCCCTGAATTAGCTCACTTTTGACACTGAGACAATTTTGTTATGTTACTTAAAATCAGAGTAACATAATAAATCAGAGGGCCAACAATTAATCAGACTACCAACAATTAACAGCAAACCTCTTTAGCAGCAGGAACTTGCATTGCCCTGTAGCAGAAGGAATGACAAGTTGCTCAGATCTGTGTGGTTTTCTTTTATAAGTTACTTAACGAAATGAACATTTTTTTTCCAAGAAAGCAGAATAGGGTACAAAATAAGTTTAGGGGGAAATTGTCTTTTGTTTATACATTTTTTCAATGAAAATTTTCATTATATTTGTGTCCAAATTGCATACCGTGATTTGATGAATCTCTGACAATGGTAGAATCTAAAACTTAATATTGAATTTCTATAACTATATTTTCTTTTATTCACACCCGTAAATGTAAGTTATAGAAAATGAATAATGATCTCCTAAAGGAGATGTGCCAGTATGTTAACCCTCATTTGCCTACATTTATTAATCACCTTTTAAAAATTATAATATTTGGGGATCAGAATGGTAATTTGCAGTTGTCCCTATTTGTGTTTATTAGTTATTAAATGTGTATAGTCATTACATTCTGTACAAAAAGTTTTTGTAAATCATCCTGGGAGCATAATTGAAGGTTGGTATAAAAATAATTACTGTCAACAAATTCATAAATTAGGGAAAAAACATCTTGTATGATGTAATCCTCATCATGTAAACCTATCAGTGAAAGAGAAGTGTATCGTTTGCTGATACTGGTTTGCCCTGTTGTGGAACATTGATGTAATTATGAGGATGAAAGGTGCTGTTCGTGTGGATTATAGCCTGTCTGCTGATGTGGAAGATGAACTTTGCTGATTCCTACAAACTTCTTGGAAACTAAGCCGCTGATAGCAGCCTACACACTGAAGGAAAAGCAGTAGGTCTCTTTAGAAAACAGCTAAAAATCTCAAGTTGGCTAATTCTGACGTCTGCTGAAAACTGCGATAAGCATTTATGGGTGGGTTCTTCCCCCACAACACCAAACAGGAGTATGAATTCCCGCAGGCAGCCTGCCCTGCACCCCTTAAGTTAGTCTGCTGGCTGCCTTCAGGTATAGAGGACTGGTGCTGAAGGAAGTTTATTATTTTATTTTATTTTATTTTGTTATTTATACCCCGCCCATCTGGCTGGGTTTCCCCAGCCACTCTAGGCAGCTCCCAACAGAACACTAAAAGCAGAATAAAACTTCAAACATTAAAAACTTCCCTAAACAGGGATGCCTTCTAAAAGTCAGATAGTTGTTTATTTATCTAAAGTACTGATACATGCTTTCACAATATTCGCTCAAAAATAAGTCATTTCAATGTGACACCCTTGGTTTTGTTCATATGCACTCCCATACAACCTGTTGTAGTAGTATATTTTATTGGGAAATAATAATAATAATAATAATAATAATAATAATAATAATAATTATATGCTGCACATCTGTCATGGTTCCCCCATCCACTCTGGGCAGCTCCCAACAGAATATTAAAAACATGATAAAACATCAAGCATTAAAAACTTCCCTAAACAGGGCTGCCTTCAGATGTCTTCTAAAAGTCAGATAGTTGTTTATTTCCTTGAAATCTGATAGAAGGGCGTTCCACAGGGCGGGCGCCACTACCGAGAAGGCCCTCTGCCTGGTTCCCTGTAACCTCACTTCTCGCAAGGAGGGAACTTCCAGAAGGCCCTCAGAGCTGGACCTCAGTGTCCGGGCTGAACAATGGGGGTGGAGACGCTCCTTCAGGTATACTGAGCCAAGGCCGTTTAGGGCTTTAAAGATCAGCACCAGTCAACTTCCCAGTCCAGTGTACTGTTGTATTTGCGATGCAGGGGAAGTGTCGCCATCTTGTTCCTCACCTCAGTCAACAAAATATCCAAATAGACTTGCTGTTTATTGGCAACTCTAAATTTATTTATGTTTGCCAAATTCTGGAAAAGAGATTAACTTTCCTCTATGCATTTATTTGCTGGCGAAAATGGGATATATAGCTACTTATATCTGTAAAATGTTTTCAGATTTCTGGGAGGGTTGGGGTTTTCTTGTGTGTGATATGTTTATTTTTTTTGTCTTCCAGCAGTTGGATGCTATTGTCTTGTTTAATTGTGCTTCGTTTAAGTATTATCAATAATGCGTTAGAAAAGGTGGCAGAGCAGTCCCGAGATGACCAATTATATTTGATCAAGTAAGCTTTATTTTGAACCTGAAACGAGTATTTCTTTCCCAAAGCTATATAGGAAGTGTTTGTGTTGACATTGTTGCTGATGCTTCTGGAGAGGGAATCATTTCCCTATTGAATACTAAGTCATACATTGGTGTCCTGGTTTCTTTCAGTGAGCCTGGATCTAGCACTGTGTTAAAGAGAAGTGACAAATCACAGCGATTTCAAACCCGGCTGTGGATGCTACCTGTGGCGTATGGGGAAGGACTGTCAGTGCAAGGAGGAGGAGAGACCTGTCCCTTTCTATTCAGCACTCCTTAGATCAGTAGTTGCAGTTGCCAACTTTTAGAAGAATGCAAGCTTACGTTTCTGCAGCAAAGATGGCTTGAAAGT